CTGGGATTCACTCAGCATGTAAGCCGTAAGCAATATTGTTACTGGTGGGTAACACTGACAAGACAAAACACCTCGGAGGTGTGTGTATCAATTATTTCGAGCGAATTATCACCCCTTTATGTCTACTGACGTAACTATTCAACTTTATAATAATTGTATATGATTATTTAACTGTCAAATAAGTGTTTGACGCTTTCATATATCGAACTGCTTCCGAACTTTCGCATAACTTTTATGGTAAGGCAAAAAGTGATGGTGTTTTGATATGATATTTTGCTACTAAGAAATGATACATTTTAGTTAGTCCATCTTTTCTCACTATCGCCACATAAAAGACATTACAAATGGTGGGTATCCCTCTGGTTTTCAACCAGGTCAAGTCATAAGTGTTTGCGCGTTTATCATCAAACTGATAACTTCACTCATTTTTCTTACTTTCTTCTCATTACTTTTTTGATTACAGTTTTCACACGTTTTTGTCTTTGTATTTGCTCCTATTTTGTGTCTTTTGAAGATATTTTTACAGTTCTGTTTAACTACATACAACTTATCTTGAACCTATGAGTCGATTTTTCTTGATAAATAAGACAGAGTCTCACTCATAAATTCGACGAACTTACCAAGAAAGTATCTTTACATTCTAAAGGATTCTGTAGACTTGATTGTTGTTCACTCCTTGCATTTTGAGATTCAACTTTTGAAGTTTCATTAGCATTGGTCTCCCTATAGATGATGACATTTTAAGAGTGTGCTGGATGGGAATCGAATTCTGACCTCTGCCTGGCTGACTAGCATTCTACCATTGAATCACAGACTTGGTTAGACAATATAATTGCATATATCAAACACCTTGCTATGTAAACTAGTATGTAGACTAAAGTAGTAAGCCCATATTCTTCAAAATATCAGAATGCCAAAATTTATCTAAATATAAAATAGTTTATCTTAGTCTATCATTATCTATCGGCCAATACGTAATCACAATATAGAATGGCGGTATTAAAATCTGCGGTGACTACCAGTTGAAATAGAGAAATAGACTAAGATTTCTGCTTTTATGCTGTTCCAGCGTGATATTGCAATCCAAACGCAACTGAATGATTCTGTCAACTGAATATCTGCCTGCCATGCGCACAGGAAGTTGGAAGAAAAATGCTTTTTACTTGGAAACATTTACTATTTCCAAAAAGACGGAAACCGTGAGAAACACTGCCAATGCATAAATTACATACGACGTTATCCAAGCCGTAGAACATTTAGTTAAATGCTTTCAAAGGTCATTCTATCACAGAGTAGTAGGGTAAATAACCAGCAATTCAAGAAATAAATCTCAAATTAAAATAATGAGCTGAATGACAAAGAGTAAATGTTGGCACATTTAGGGGCTACTAGGAAAAGCATGATTATAAATGATAAATTGTTTTATAAATGTCTTGCAGTAAATAGCCCTATACTATATTGTGCTGTAGCAAATAAAAACAAATTGGAAATTATTGTAAGTGTCCAGATCGATGATATTGTGAATGCCGAAGAATAATTTTTCACTTGAAATTACCATGAATCTCAATATGTATAGAATATCAACATAAGGTTTCTTCTCAACAGTTCACTGTATAAGTCACAGCTCCTCCAGCAGAATTACTCGGGTTCTATTCCAAGAGTTATACTGTACTACGTTCGATGTTTCCTCTTTGCGATCAGTAATTATTAGTGTAATGTTTTCTGAACTGGATGGTGAAATTGCAAAGCTTTCATTGTCTTTCTAGACAGCGTTTTCAGCTCTGGTTTTAATATGAAGTAAATGGTTTAAAAATAATTAGTTCCCTCTATGAATTTAGACAAAGCAATACGAAGACGTAACTCATCTGAATAGTATAGTGTATTTGCGTAACACATTTCGATAATCTAATCACACACGGACTTGTCATAGGAATATGTATCTATGCAAATAATAAAGAGTTAAGTGGTGAGAAAATAAATTTAGGTCAAGTTGAAAGGACATGTTGAAGGTCAAAATAACAATGAAGATCATTAAACCAAATAAGAGAGGTAATAGTACATCTACCCTGACTGATATCAAAACAAAGTTTACCAACAAGGAAGGTGGTTTAGTGTGATGACGAATTGTTTTTGAACGCATAAAGGTGGTTTAGACTTTCTAACTGCCAACTGGGGCTTCCACAAACTTTAAGATACGTCCCAAACACGTTTTATAGATAGATAGGTTTTAAAGATGTGTTGACGTCAACTTTATATCCTGTCTCTATAATATGTTTGGTAATAGAGGAACTGGGTCTCCTGTTCTCACCATTAATGGGTTCTGGGGGTTCAGTTTGCTTCTGAAGCCATTTGGAGTTTTCTTTAAAGCCCTTGCTTGCGGAGATCGATGAGTCCTTCCTATTTATGTGTGTCCACGCGTACATTTAAATTGGTGAATACTGTGGAATGTGACATCATTTTTCGCATGTTCAAAGAGCTTAGATAGATATATTGGCTTCACATTCTCAATTATTATGATATTAAATGCATAAAAAGTCTTTTTAACAACAGGGTTCAATCTTTGTCTATTTGTCAAGCTTCTATGATCCTCAATATAGGGTAGCTTGAAGTACACATCTTTCTCAGCGGCTAGTTAATTTCATAGATATTCCTATGACAAGTCCATATGTGATCAGATGTTTCGAAACGTGTTGCGCGAATACATTACACGATTCAGATAAATAGTTTTATTTATTTCTTAGAGTGATGAGCATGCAAATTCATTAACTCACTCTATGCCATTCGAGGGGAAAGAGTTGATAAACTTGGCTTCACGTCAAGCTTTACTTCATTTGCGTAAGGAAAGATTATTCAGAGAAAAACCCACCCTAAGGAAATGCCATGCAATGATGTTTATTTTAACTTGGGTAAAGTATGAATATCTACTTAGATATATGGGTCGTTGTGGATAATGAAACATTTCATGACACAGTGCAACGCTTCGAAACAATGCCAGCATATGCGCATAGTTAGCTCTGTACAAAATCTAACACTTTTCACTCACTGTTTCACCTGCGTTTCAACACAAAAAAAAACAACAACTGTGGAATTCTCTTTGAAAGAGAGAATTGTCTTAACAGTTTGTATCTATGATATTATATGTGAAATTAAACGAAGTATGTTGTTCAATTCTCTCTTACTTTGACATAAAACTTTTGAAAATTTGCTCATTCTTATTTACTAATGAACAAGTTTGGCTAGTTAATTACCTTGTCCTAATGAGCTTCTCGCATGATTGCCCTCATATAGAAATGTGTGTGTGTGTGTATGCCGTTGTGCATGCATAAACATGTCTCAAATTATAAACTACACTTTTTTTCACGTGTTTGGTAGCTGCATACCTCTGAGGCTTGGATTAATTAAGCAGTCTAAAATAAACTATGAATCGTTGTTTTTCTCTGTCATACACTCATGATAAGGCTACCACGTATGAGAATACTAGTTGGATACAGTAGTACATATTAGTTAGATCGGAAGAGACAGTAATGTGGAGTTTTTTTACTATATTCTATGTCCTTCCTACCTTCCTCATATCACTTTTCCTCACCTTGTATATTTTACTGACTTTGTTTTGAATTGTATTCGCTTCTACGCAGAACACAGAGTGAACTAGACACATTGTGTTTGAGGTATAAAATAAGATTGAAATAACTGCAGAAATAATTTAGTGGTGCCCATAGATAGAACGTTTAAAAAACAAAAGCGGGTGGATAGGAGTATATGTCAACTAAACCCATATTTATATTCACTTTCTGAATAGACTGTTTTCAATGTGTTTGCTAACATACACATTGTCTGATTCGTTTGAGGGTATAATACAAGATATACTTGGTGTTTTTCTATAACCAAGCTCTACGTTGTGATTGTCAGTTAACTGTTGTTAGACTGTTAAGAGAATAGCACCGCGACTGCGTTCAACATCTCCATTGTTTCACTTTGCCTTTAAATCCATATCACTTTGTATGTTTGTGTCTATAAAACCTTCGTTGAGTTTCACGTTTCTGATATGACTCTGTTTTCATGAAAACTTTTGATGTGTAACACTGATCTGATCCACTACGAGTTGACCATATCACTAACTTATTAAACCAGTTCAAGATAACTTCCACGACACTGAATAACTAATCTAACGATGTTTAGAGTATTTTGTTTGGTAGTGACTACTAGTGTAACAACAGAAGACAAGGGCCAGACAACAGATCGTTTATTAAGGAAAATCAACACATATTTATAGATTTTAATGTACAGTATTGTAAATTGTTAGTAGGAAATACAGTCTTTTGATTGGTTGTTTCTCACAGAAAGTTAACCTTGCATCTCTTTATGGCTGTGTCAGATCATCCATATACTAACTGTATCCGCCTACGCAAAGCCTTTGTTCTCATTTTCTCACCACCAATATTGTGGACATAAACATTGACGTCAATTACTGTCTGCCAACTTTAGCTAGCAGCCAGCTCTCACCACACTAGCGGCAGAATTTAGGATGCACATTTCGTCTTACTTGTAACTCAGCTGGATATACCTGCATTCCCAGTGAGTGATGGTGTTCCCACTGAGACTCGAACCCTGTACCCATATCCTCAAACGCTAAAACATTACTACACTAGGCCACTAGAACCACCCTGAGTACCAGTTACTATTGATTTTTAGGTTAATCTGCATTTCCCGTCTGTATTAGGCGCCGACATGTCAACAGAGACCTAGCGTTTTGGTCTCACTCAACGGGAAATGCAAATCTATCCAAAAAGGAACAAAACATTAAGATTATCGGAATGGATCTCACCTGATAGTATAATTTTTTTAATAGCAAAATGCCAACAGTGAGGTGGGCTTAGTTAACGAGTGGATAAGTAGTCTAAGGATAGTATTTCATTTACATATCATGTATCTAATTATTGAAGCATTCATGAGCAGTGTTATTTTAAAGCTGTACTTTTACTTGCTACTTTTGATTTTAGGTTGTTTGGTCTTTCGGGAACATGTGCAAAATGTCGAGTTCAAATTCCTCCAGATGAACTTGTCATGAGATGTCAAGATAAAGTGTATCATGTGAATTGTTTCTGTTGTACACAATGTCATTCTCCATTGCATCCCGGTGATAAAGTTTGTATTATGGATGGTAATTTATTCTGCGAGCATGAATTCCCACATTTGTTCTCTGGACCATCAAAATTAAATTCATTAAGATTAACATCATCTTCTGCAAGTCCTTGTACTTCTAATGATTCTGATATTGGACGCGGTCAAATGATTAATGAGTTACCATCGAAAATAAATGGTTTTCCATCGTCTTCTAGATCGTTTAATATGAATCCTTCATCTTTAGAACAACAACAGCAACAACAACAACAATCAGCTATTCCTAATAAACTTATATTTTCACAGTCCGATATAATGTCAACTCTTAGCCCTCATCATCCATCCAGTCCAAGTATGTCATTTCCTAACAACAACAACATGCAACAAAATCAAGATAATAGTCAACCAATGATACCGCATGGCTTTTATGTTACAGACGTTGAGCAGCCTTTCAATGATGCACTCAATAATGTACAAAACACATCAGATAAACCCTTAAAATCCTCCATGATCAACACGGCAGCTGAGACAACTACTGGTCGAAAGAAGCAACAAAAAGTTAGTTGATTCACTAATGAGATCACTTGTGTTATTGCTTGTAAAGTCATTTAACTTCTTTTTGATATATGTTGAGTGAAATTTTCACTGTGTCGTTATTTTGTATGCCTGTATTCTTTCAACTATATATTTTGTGGTATTCAGTGATATCAAAATGCCATGTTTGGTTGATTTAAAATAATACGAGTCAAGTGATTTAGTCATTTTAGTTAAGTTCCAGTTAGTTACAACTGTAAATTATCTTGGGAAACCTCGAGGGATAAAGTCATCTGATGCCTGAAGGAGTTCACATATCCTTTTCCTGAGTAAAAACTCATACATCTGTCAGTAATATTCTCATAGGAATTAAAGAAGCCTTGCTAAATACTACTTGATTTTTTTTTAGAAATTATTATATCAAACAAACTAACTAACATTAAAGCATGAATATAAATAGTTGTTGAAATTCAGTGTCTAAATTGACTTGCGTAGCACTACTATTAAATTACAATCAATATGAGAAGTAAATCACGTTCACTTCAAGATTCTGGCTACGATTAAGTGAACCAAAACCTACGGATCCAAATCAAGACTGCAGTAATGGAAAGGTAGCTCATACGATTAATAACCCATACACAAACTCAATCAAATCTATAAGTAACTAATCCAGAAATAGATCAATCATTCAAATGATGAAATAATACCTAATATAAATGACTTATAGGCAGACATAAGAGGAAATTTTCAGTTGTTTAGAGGCGAGTAGGTGGGCAATAGATTTTTGTTACATATATAACTTAACAGATTGTGAAGATTTACTTAATTGAAATAAGCATACCAAATTGAATTTCATAATCAGTAAAATATTTGACTGATTAACTGGTTTCAGCTTGGAACTTTTCACAGATGTACATCAGTTCGAGTTGCCACACTCTATGTAGCATACGAAGCAAGAGAAAAGAGTAAAGATAGAGATAATAAACAGAACTGCGAGTGAGGGAAAAATAATAGTAATACGGAAGAAGGATCGAGTTTTATTGGATATGACAAACCATGAAGAGAGTGAGAACGATTTCGAACCACATCATCAGTTTTCTGCAGCTGTTGGTTCTTACAATCCGGAGAACCCAAACCAGGCAATCTGCATCTCCATACGTGGCCCAAACTAACTGTCAAAGATTTCATGGACTGACTCTATGTTTTGGTTTGACCATCACTAGCTCTTTTCCAACCTGTTCCTATGTCAGTTAATATTGTTCCTCTAGGAAGGCTATTACTAGGCCTGCACCCTAGCCATCTCAATCTATGTAGCTTCTCAGCCTCATCGATCGACCTTCCCTCTCCCTCATCTAAAACTCGACAGTGAAACAGTATTATTTACTTGGTAAAGTTTCGAACACAATTTATTGTTCAAAATCACATCAATTATAATCACACGGCTTCGAAACTTTCCCTTTTATAGCTTTCTTTATTCCCTCCTCTTCGTCGTCGTAGGGGTAGTAGGATTTTCTAGACGTCTGGGAGAGGTGTTCAGTCACTTCTATTACGCGTATTCCCTCTCAGTTGATTCGATAAATAAAGCTCCCATTATCAATCTCTCCCTCCACCCTGTGACATTAGATTTTAAAACTGTCGTCTTATCCCATTCTATTGCATGGTTTTATGTGATTGCATGTGGTAAGTGGCATAGCTGAACTATTCTCCAGATTTCTTATCATATCAGGGTCAAAAAATCTAGACATTGCTAGATTTTTGTGCTCCGCTAGTCTGACTGACTGACCTCGTTCTACTACTTTGACGTTTATATTTGACCTGATTATAATTGATATGATTATGAACAATAAATTGTGTTCGAAACGTCATTCAGTAAATAATACTGTTTCACTGTGTGATATATCTAATAAACAAATTAATGTGGAATTACATACATACCGTCGGTTTCTCCACGCCTCTTTTGAGGCTCAGGTGGCTGTTGCAGTTGAAATGTGGTAAAACCTAACTGATTTATTTAGGAGTATAATTGTGGTAGAGTACACCGGACTGGATAAATTTATTTGTACAATATGAAGTGAGCTTATTTCACATGGAAGTTAATTCTACCTTACCGCCAAATATGAAAAGCGACCTCTTCTTGATATCACCCAATTTATGCACATAATGATCGTAATGCTACTAGGAGCATTTCCTGACACGAATGTTGACAAATTGTTATTTAGTGAATCCATGATCTTGTCATCTGAGTACACTACATACTTTGTAATATATATACTGCGACCCAGATTTGACCGAACGGTTCCATAAAAACTGAGCACCGATTGCAGATTTCAGGGAAATCTGGAATAAACAGATTCAACTTTTCGGTCAGCAAACTAGTTCGAATTTCAAACGTAACCGTTGATATTTTTTTCAATTTTCTGACCAGTTCGCTGAACTAAACGTTCCTTTACAGAGGTTGACGTGTAACCTTTACATGTTGTCCAGTTGTTGTGTGTTAATGAACTCCTTAGAGTATTGGTCGTGTTGATCATGTTTAAATTCTTACCACAGATACTCCATGTGTATTTTTATTACAATGCCCTTTAAGCCAGTAGTTCCTACAGAAAGATAATGCTAGTCAAAGAGACTTATTTCTATACTATCCTACGTCACATTGTTACACTCATAATGTCCAACTTGTTTCATATTTTGTATACGTATTATTGTATTCTCTTGTGAATCAATTGCTTGTCACTCAACGAAAACTTTATTCGGTTAATCTTTTATTTATTTTTTTTTATTACTTTACTACTTTTTTAGAAAGTGGACAATCGTCGATGCCCCGCTCTTCGTGTTTGTTGAACCTGGGAGACTAAATCTGTAACACATTGTGATTGGTCCTCAGGACCACAACCTTTTTCCCCTGCCAATTTCAATTTTGTTTTCATGGATATCCCATCCACCCCCACCTACGTGCCATTTTTACTCATTTCACTTCTTTTACAACACACGTCAGATTAAATAAAGAGAATGGAGAAGAAGGTTTATTGTTTTTCTTATATTATTCACCTTTTTTTATAAATATCTATAACAAAAAAATATCTTTGACCAAAATATTCAGAGATACGTGTGAATACTTAAAGAAAAACAATTGCATAAAATTGATGATGAGTTTGAATGTGCAACAAAAACACACATTCATCAATATTCTTTGAATAAAAAGTCTGTACAAATTTCTTTTTTGTGCTGTTTAATATTTTTCAGATGGGGAAATAACTAAAGAAGTTATATACAACATTTAATAAACATACCTTTGTATTTCTTTTAAAAAAAATAACTTACACTGTTTAGAACAGAGGAATAGCACTATATTATATGTGCAGTAAACTGAAGTCTATTTTGTTGCTACCCCGATTCCAGTGTGTGATATTTGAAAATGGGAAGCTCTTATTATTTATTTAAAACAGTTAGTACCTTTTTACAGATTGGGATAGTGCCACTATAAGACGGTAATTATCTGAAAAGCGAGATGATTTGCGCCATGCATTTCGAACAATCTGACCAAAGACTTACTTGTCAAGTCAATTTATATGAAACAAATTAAGGGCAATTAAAATACACAAAGTGACCGTTGATATTCTTTGTGACTACATATCTTCTAGTTGTTTTTCATTTCCTTTAACTTATATGAAAAACGTCCATTTCACGTTCGAAGGTGATCACTTTCGACAAGTGGATGGTGTTGCTATGGGGAGTCTATTAGGACCTTTGTTAGCGGATGTTTATATGTCTTATGCTGAAAACTTGTCCCTTGATTTAATTGCTAAAGTGACCTTCTATAGAAGATATGTATATGATATTATTTTGGTATATGATGATCATGAAGATGCGAGTCTTCTATTGGATAGACTTAACTCCGTACAGAATCATATAAGTCATACATGCGAGGAAGAAAGAAAGTCGCAACCAGCTTGTGTTTTTAGACATACTTCTGAGTAAAACAAACGATGGTTCAATAAGACGATCAATTTACAAAAAGCCCACTTGGACAAGGCAATACCTTAATTTTCAGTTTCTCTCCATTACAATATAAGAGAGGCTTGGTGAAATGCTTATTCAACAGAATTCAGGGTATTTGTACGGCTGATGTTATAGAAAAAGAAAGTAAAATACTCTTGTTGAAAACGGATATCCTTTAAAAATTTTAAACAGATATGGCAGTTAGTCTTAACTCCTACAATGTATTCCGTCCCTAAGAAGGATGTCTTCATCAAATTACCATATATTGAGGAAATAAATAGTGGGATTTTGAGACAGAGATTAAGCTCGATCATCCATAGCACCTGTTATGCGCTTCAGCTCGTAATCACTGAAGAAGGCGAAATATACCCCACTACAAACCTCAGAAGTGCACAGGTGATTATGTCAGATCCCACACTATTTACCGATTTACGTGTGTGTGTGTGTGGGGGCGTACATATGTGGGGAGGAGTTATTGCACTTTGTATGTGAAGGTGGAAGAGCCATTCCGAAATGGTTAGAAAGACAACTGAACTTTGGAGAATCAAAAGACGCAGGTGGCAGACTACCAACTTCGTCTATAGCCAAATATCTAGTCGATATGTACCAAAAGATTGGTGTTAACACAGCTCTTAAGGTCATCTATAAAAATGGTCAAGGGTGCTTATTGAAATACGCTAAGGCTATAACTTTTCATAAACTTAAGCCCTCCCCCTGTGTGTTCAAGAACTAACCTACCTTGGTAATCCTTATCTGATTGAATTTATTTATTATTTTATTATTCGCGCGAACGCTAACAAATTTCATCGGCGGGAACTCCATAGTCATGAATTAGTAGAAGTTAGGATTCATGGGACATTGAGTCGGGTCCCAGTGGCTGAGTGATATACGAGCTTGCCTTACAACCAGAGGGTACTGGGTTCGAATCTCCTGTGGTGGGTGCGTACTGCTGATGAGTCCCAAACTAGGCTAATGAAACAACTGTCCAGTACTCCCTGGTTTTCAATAGTTCTCTAACTGATATCAATCCGTGGTCTAATTTGAAATAAATTGACTTGACAAGTAAATGTGTGATCAGATCGTTCGAAATGTATTGCGTGAATACATTCCACATCACATTTTTGATATAATCTCCGCCTTGTTTAACAAGTGTTCGATTAATAGCGTTTAACGAATCTATCTATCTCAAACGTGTCTTAAACGTTTTCGGCTTTTTATATAAGTGAATACTTGATTTACTATACCTCCTGGCATCTAATTAAACGACTACCCTTACATCGTGTCCATCTCCTTCACATCGGAAATCTCTTCAGTTATGCTGAATGTGTTGAAAATGACTACTGAACCCTAAGTAATTGAAAATTCAGTTACGACATTCTCATAATTGCTGCCTAGTTAATCATTCTCTGCCTCTGTATCATTCATGAATCATCCCCATCCAGACATTAATGAAAACAAAACGCATAGTTCAACCAACGAAGAATCTTTTTCCGGCGAATTCATCCACTTGGCTGTACAATCGCAATTATATATAATTATTTTGTGTGTGCACATTAGGTTTGTCAGACAAAAATAACAAATAGTTAGGACTGTTGTTTACGTCATCAAAATATTTGAAAAAAAGTGTGAATAATCAAGTTGTGACTAGGGTGTAAGGATTAGTTAGAGGGTAGTGGTTATGAGTTATCAATGTTAGTCAATGCATGAGAGCAGTTGAATAAGTGTATTGTAGTTAAGCAATGAGATGAATAATTTAATGAGTGAGTTTTGATTAGAATGGACATAGAAACAAAGGAAAATATGGAATTATGTAGATCTTGTAACAAGAATTGTAAGTCTTTGGAAAGGTGGGCGAACAAACACCAAGCCAGTAGAAATCACTGACTGGTTTCAACATAGCAATCAGCACCGATGTGCAGCAGTTCGGGTCGCTACACTTCACTCAACGAGGTTGTTGCCATGATAGTAGAAGTGGTTAAATGATTTTCTTTTGCACACCTAACTCTGGTTATTCCAACTGAACGGTTTAGGCTTCAGCAATAAAGTGTACACACACACTCAATTATATATATATATATATATATATATATATATATATAATGGCTAGCTCCACTTCCAATCTCCCCTCTTTTTCTGGGCTTAAGACTGTCTAGTAAACCATATGATCACATCCCTAGTGTATCACGAAAAGTATTTCTAAAAGTCTTCTGATATCTGAGCAAGTGTCTTCACTGGCTCCATACTGAAGACGAGATAGGCAGAAGAAACTCGGAACGAATCAACCAAGAATCTATTGCTCAACAAATACGACGAATCGTAAACTATACCCATTAATTCATAAGGAAAAACACAGTCTTTTTATTCAGCAAAGAAATTTCCAGTGGGAAGTCGTGACCAGTAGGGTGCAGCAGGTTGGATGTGAGGACAAATACTCGCCGAAGACATTGGCTAGCGGTCGCACTATGTCGTGAATTGGCAGAAATTAGAATTCATGGGCTGGCCATTGGATCGAGTCCCAGTGGCTTAACGGTTGATGAGCTCGCCTTGTAACCAGAAGGTCCTGGGTTCGAACCCCTGTGGGTGCGTACTGCTGAAGAGTCCCAAACTAGGACGAAACAACTGTCCAGTACTCCCAGGTTTTCCAATGGTTCTCTAACTAATGTCAGCTCATGATAAAAATCCTGTAACCAATCAAATCCTTACAAACCAACACTTGAATAATTTTATATAATTGTGATTGTACACCTGGGTGTATGAATTCGCCGGAGAGAGACTTCGCTGAACTACATGTTCAATATGATTTGTCTTCTTTTTTCTACTACAACAAATAACTTTTAAGTATTCATACGTAAGAGTGGTACGCTTTGTTGTTTAGCAGTGTTTTGCAAACCAAATGTAGTCTCATTGAACTTACTTTCTCATAAGCAGAGTTTATTCTTTGTAAATACCAAAAAAAAATCCATTCTCTAATTCATGCATCTTTAACATGTGATTATGAATTCAAAATAAATGTCAAGATGGTCATTCTTTTTTTTCCTAGCAATCATTATTCAGAAGTCAGCTGAACTGCTCTTTAACGTTTGAATCATTACACGTCTTAGGGAGCTTTGTAAACAAGTTAGAAGTAAGGAAATCCAGCTTATAAGTCATATGTTTGAGACGAACCAGCCTTTCTGAAATATATTATTAATCTTTTTTCCATAGACAATCAAAATATGAAAGTTTAGGGGAGTATTGAAGTCTGAATGTGTGAGAAATCATGTAGAGGAAGCTTCATCACAACAAAATGTGTGGATAAATATGAACGTCGAGAACCTCTGTTTGTCTGTAAAAGCCAATAATCCTATAAATGACGATTCACAAACACGTCGGAGTTAATTTATTTGATCCCATCACCGTACGCTGCTTCAGTAGTTGCAGTTCTTTTCGAACGTTCGCCTCGTTAGGTAGATGCATATTGAGCAACTGTGAAGCATTATGTTTAAGAATATTGAAAATTGGTACTGTAGATCTTATGGAATTGCAGATGTATGGACAGCATTGAGTAGTAGGGTGGGAAAATTCCTACCTGACTGGATTCCAGTGAATGACCGTTGTCCTACTGATCCGTCAGAAGAAGGAGGGATTAGTGATACCCGATGTCTTTTCATAATCTCCGCTTACGCCCCAACTTAAGGTATGAGTTCTGTCAAAAGCTTCCTAGTTTTCTGCTAAAAGCAAAACGCTCAGATGCAGCCGTTTTAGCAGAGGAATTCAATGCTGAACTAAGGATGTTGTACCAGTCTGGGAAGTATATTGGCTGCAGCGACTTACCGACAACGGTGATATACTAACAGAAGTAACACTAACTAACCCTGGCGTCTTAGAGATTATCTTGTTACTAGAGAACAGTCTCGCCGATTCTGAGTGTGCAAATGGTAGTCGATCTAAGTGAAGACGTTGAAAAAATCCGCTATCTTTTGAATATCTTGAGCGATTCGCTCTTGTCAAATGTAATATGATGCCTTAGGACTGGTCCGAAGCTATTTCCTGTTTGAAGATAGGGAATGAAGTGGTTGGGCGTATTAACCACTTCACCTGTTTGGGAAGTTGCATCACCCCTAATGATTAACAGCTGACTAAATCTCACTACGGATGCTAGAGGTTCGTGTGACATTTTGTGCGTCGGTGGCACAGCGGTTAGGACTCTCGCCGACCATACACATGGTCCGGGGTTCGATCCCCTGCCGACGCACACCCGATATCAATGGTCGGCCTGCAAAATTTGGGTGACCGATATCACATGCTGAAAATTTCATACTTATATCAAAAATACTGTGTGGAGTCAAGCTATAATAA